TTTTTCGGGCAGCTGGACGCCATGGCATCGCTGTTGGTGTCGCTGCCATGGCATCCTAGTGCGATACCGCCCTAAAGGCATAGATTGAACGTCAGATTTCGTAACAACGGAACACACAGACGCAAAATATTTTCTCCTTCAAGTCTGATGCGTTTAGCCTGTCTCGTTTGACCATCATGGTTTTGCCACCCCTGACAGCGAGTGAATGGAACCTGCAAATTCAAGGAAAGACCAAAGCAGGTCCATGCAGTGAAGGAGAGACATTCTTCTGTTTGTCAGAAATAACTATGACCTGCTCATTGGTGCAGTAAAACTTTCCCCGACCGTAATTTCAAAGGTTGTAAGAAGGGTGAGACCTTTGTAACAAACAGACAGTATTTAAAATAAAAGTACCTTTTAAAACGGAAACTGAACAGCGGAAACCAGCAGCATGGATGGAATAAAAGAATTTTATTATATGAATTTAAGTTCTGTGTAAACCGCGCATGCCTGCCTGCGCATGTAACATATATCCCTAAAATGTATTACCACGTAAAACCTTTCAGGATTTGAAGTTATCATGGCGGAAAGTACGAAGATGGCTGTGTTCTGCGTTGTAACATAGCGAATTCTTTATAGTTCCTGAGCTTTATTCTGGATTGTTTCAGAACAAATCAGGTTTGGAAATGCACTCCCAACACGCAACAAAACATAAACAAAGGTTAGTCAGTGAAACGGTTTGTCAAAATTGATTTTTTACGTTTAACGAATCAACTAACCAACTAGCTCTCTTTCATTAGAACTGAGACGTATGAAGAGAAAGGCCGGACAACAAACATTACGTCCACTGATTGAGGTTAGCTCTTTCTACGGGACCCATCTGAGTATGTGCCCCTCGAACCTCTTTAACCTGAAGATGGATGCAGATCCAGCTTCCGAAACATAGTGTTCTTTTTAAAAACACAGACAATGGACATAGTCAAAGAATTTGGAGATCCCGATTGTAACACATCATCGTCAGTAATATTTAAAATTAATAAAAAACTATAGTTTACTAAAATTCTTACCATCAGTTACATAAATAATTTTCCATTTATTATAATTAAACGTTTGAGATATCTGAAAACAAAGGACAGACAAAAAACCCTACAGTTTACAAAAATTAACTATTTTGATTAGTTATGTAAGCAATTAACCAGATACTTCTTTTATATAGATAAAGACCCGACAAATAGCCCGCAATCTGTAGTTCCCAAGCATAGTTTATTACCACAAACATAAATTCAGCAAGACAATGAAACATTCTTATAATCACTTTACACGAGACAAAAATATTTTCGTGTTACATCTGCAGACTTAATGGCATTTACTGTCTGGAATCTCGGCCTAAAATTAAATCACTGGTTACGTAACTTGTTTTATTCACACAACCCCGGATGACTATCAGTCCAATCCCCCTAGTCGATTCCGTACAAACTGCTAGAATATATTCTTAAAGTAAAAGACACGTGAGAAGAACAAAAAACGATGTAAAGTCCAATCTTAAATCTGGCGACGTAACAGACCAAATTAACTAAACAAAGGTTCTCGTAGGTAGTGTAGTGTAGTAGAAGTTCACCGACGTTTCATAGGTACTTGCTGTTTCCATCATCAAAGAGATGATGGAAGCACCAAGCACCACCGAAACGTCGGTAAACCTCTACCAAACTGGACCTCTCACCAGACTTATCAAGTACAAGCCAATATTATCGATGAAATGTGTACTGTGTTTATCTGGGTTCTGACGCTGCGTGGTCATGTAAGTGGTTCGTCCGAAACGTCGGTCACCACACTGATAATGGTTCAGGTTTGGTTTAAAGTTTCGAACTTTACAAAGGCACGATTTTCAAAACAAAAATTCTGGTAACGAAACTATTCGTTATGACGACATTGTTCGTCTGTTTTGTTTTTAAGCTGTGTCTGTCTTAAGGGCATCTAACGATTCTACACCGCGCCAGAACCCAGAAGAACATTATTCTAGTTGGTGTGAATAACAAATATTTAATATTTATAATTACTGGCAAAAAACATTATTCCTTTCCGTTGGTCATTCAGTTGGTTGCCAAGACAACCTGCCTACACAGTACCTTCCCTTTAAGTACAAAGCTTCGTCAGTATCTTATACTGGCAAATAAACAGTTATGAATAATTGAACGGGATAGCTACGATTACATAATAAATACGGGTCTTCAACTTATGCGGTAACGGCCATGCTTGCATTGCGTGCTCGGCCGGTACACTGTTGACGTCGGCAGACTGGTGCGTGTTCTTCCCGTGAATCACCGGCGAATCAGTTTCAGTGCCACTAGTAACAGCGAACTACGAATATTTTTCGTCACTAATTCATGTTATTACATTAATTGTTCTTACCTTAAATCACAAAAGATGTTCAAAGTGACTTCCTTGTGCTTGCAAGCGACTTCACATCTCGTTAACATATATCTAAATACTCGACGAAGCTCTTCTTCGGAAATTGCCGAAATGAATTGTGGTTTCCTGTTCTTTTTATCCAAAACTGATCCCGTACTACGAAATTTTTTTACTAAGCTCTCTATCACTTTCATCAGGAAAATGTCTGCGATATTTACGGCGGCATCTTCCGTAGGATGAATATTTGGCATATATTTCGACTAAGAACACACGTTGCTTAATACTATACACCATATTATCAACGTAAATCCGCGACGAGAGACGCAATGAAACTGATTCGCCGGTGATTCACGGGAAGAACACGCACCAGTCTGCCGACGTCAACAGTGTACCGGCCGAGCACGCAATGCAAGCAAGGCCGTTACCTCATAAATTGAAGACCCGGTACTTAACCACTGATAATTGAATGAGCTGACAAAATACATCAACCTGGTTTTTATATCATTCTTTCCCAACCGATGGCATTCAGATTACGCAGAAAACATAAAATTCCTGACAGAATACATCGGCAATAAATAAAAATTAACAATTTCAGAAAGAGAAGTACATTCTAATAAATAATTTATTCGTGCACTTTTCCTAAATTATTTTATCAGGAAGCGGGTTTTAGGAAAACTACAGTACGCAGTTTATTTGTCAAATATCGATCTCATACCGTGGCCTATTATACTTTTTAGTCAACTTTTGCGAAGAAAATGAGGGCTCTCATTCAAACGATGCAACCAGAAACGATTTGCTCCAACAAAGACAGATTCAAGGAGGCTCAAGTACCAGTTAGTGGTGCTGTTAGATGTAACTTACAACACACGTTCGATAAAAGAATAGAAAAAGCTGGTTGTCACTGGGCGCTAGTTTTTTAGAATAAATCCAGCCATTGTCTTCTGGACCAATGGTATTCAACCTTTTTTGTTCGCGGGCCCCCAGATATAATTTCTCTTCAACTTTGTACCCCCAAAGTTGTTGGTGTATAATTCAAGTTATACTTAGTATATAATCTACATCTAAAATAAATTAAATAAATCACATTACTGATTATTCAGTGTTTATCATAAAATAATTTTTTTTTTAAATTTCACGTACCCCCTAAGATGTCTTCGCGTACCCCCAGATATAATTTCTCTTCAACTTTGTACCCCCAAAGTTGTTGGTGTATAATTCAAGTTATACTTAGTATATAATCTACATCTAAAATAAATTAAATAAATCACATTACTGATTATTCAGTGTTTATCATAAATAAATATATTTTTTTTAAAAAATTTCACGTACCCCTAAGATGTCTTCGCGTACCATCGGGGGTACGCGTACCCCAGGTTGAAGACCACTGTTCTGGACTGTAGAGCCGTGTAGCGTCATCACTCTGATAATAGAGGCTACAACGACTTCTGAAACGTCGGCAAATTTCTACCAGACTCCATGGCGCTATAACGCAGATGGCAGCCATTTTCACAGTCGTAACAGTTAGGCAGTCTCAAGGAATATCGAAAGCCAGACGGAAGTGAACTTCCTCGACTTGCTCAGGTAAATAATGGACGAAAATAATCTGTTGGATCGACTGGGGAAGATTTTTAACGCTGACAAAAGCAGAATTCAGTTCAATAATAAAAACAGTGAAGACATTGTTATGAAGGATTTAAATAGAGTACTTCA